AACTCATTTTCAAATATTTCGCAAATTATTTCATATGTACGTCTATCTTTGATAAATTCTACAATTAATTTATGTAATATTTGTTCCTTTATTTCTCTAGGTAAATTCCTAGTTATATATAATGTTATTATTTTTAGTTTATTAGGGATAGGGTTGTAAAATATATAACATCCTTTTTCTTCAATACATTGATAATAATTATTTATTTTTAAGATTTCCATGATCTCTAGGGCTCTGATACCAACTCTATGGGTGCTACTATGAGCGAACAAAAATCTAATAATCTAATAATCAAAATATCAAAATTTTAATCTCATAAATTTTTAAGTAATTCTGCAAAGTCTAATAATGTTTGAGAATTTATAATATCAATATCTGTTATCATATCTATGTCTGTTCCAAAAGGTATTTCATATTTTGAGATACTTTTCTTTCTTTTTTCCAATTTATCTATTATATCTTGTATATCTTTTATGATTATTGACCTTACAATTCCTTTAGCGAAATTTTCTAATAAGTTTTCTTTAAAACATTTTAATATTTCTTGTGATGCATATAATTGTTCTTGATATCCTATCTTATCAATTTCTTTTTCAAATTTAATTTCTTTTTTATTTTTAACAACCTTTTTTATATTATATGGTCCTCTCTTATATTTGGGCTTTTCCATTTTATAATTATTCATTGATAATTTTTACAAATTTTTCGAAAAATTATTTGTTAGATTTTTTAAGGACTAAAAAAGAAACTTTTTATTAAATAAAGGGTTGGTTGTTAAATTTTTTCAAGGATATTTTGGGTAGTTTCAAATTTCTAAAAAAGTCAAAGGTCATTTTGGAAAAGGTTATATACTATTTGGGCCATTTTCATGTATATCCCACAAACAAAAGGATTAATTCTTTCAAATGGTCCCTAATGATTGGCTACCATGTGGAATCCGGACTTGTCTTTTTCAACTTGGCTCAATAATGTCTTGATGGGAACATTTGGGTGAGCAAATTGTCCTTTAAAATTGGCTCCAGCCAATTTCTTCGTCGAGTTTGCTCGTGAAGCCAACTTGCTTTGTTTCGAAGTGCAGAGACATCAATTCGTTATTCAACTTTATTTGAGAAATTTGTCTGAGAGGACGACAAATGTCCATATATAAATGTTAGTGTCAGAATTGAAAATGTAGATCTTAGCTCTTGCTTGAACCCTTTTTTATCCAATATATAATGTTCTCTTATCTTTTTAACTACACATTTTTTAATAAAATAATATTATACGTAAATTCAAAACTTTTCTTTCATTTTTAACAATATATTCTTCAAAAAATCACTATTTCAAATTATATTTTTCCCCAAAAATACATTTTAATGGAGCGCAAATTGGATCTTAATTTCACATAACAGCCAAAACATAGAAGAACATTTGTGTGCATTGACATTTGGACAACATACAACTTAGAAAGAAAAATTACAATCAGAGTCACCAATATATTCAAAATAAAGCAAGAAGGTCTACAACCTTCAAATCATAGCAATTAGGCATGCAGGGACTCACTTTCTATCAGTTGAAGAACAAATACCTACTCATTCTATTTCCATTATGTTGGGGGACCTAAATCCTAATTAATTCTTCCAATTGATAAATAGAGTTAAAAAATAAAAAATAAAAAAAACTCAACCCCACCCAATGGACCCCACACCTCTCTGTTAGGAATTTGAAACCAAGAGACGTTACCACTTACCAGCTTTCTTTAACCGTTTGTGTACTCACAATTATTATTATTTATTATTATTTTACTTTAACACGTTTATTATTCTAAGCAAAAATCACTTTCTATATATATTTTGTCTGTTTCCTTTATTTTTGAAAATCTTGAAAACAAGTTCCTTGTCTTCTCATTTATTGCTTTCAACAGTTCGACCCCTCAACAACATTCTTCAAGATAGCTCCTAATCACTGATCTGAACAATTTCTCTCTCTAAACGTCTCAGTTTTCATCATCTTGTGGCCTCTTTATCAATGCATACATTTTTTGAATATACGAAGCTTTTGGCATTGAAAGTTTGCTGCTTTTTGCAATAGGGGAAAGGTTAGAGGATCTTGATCTCATGTAAAATTTTCTTGATTTTTGACTTTTTGTTAATCTTAGATTGAAGAAAAAAAAATAAAATTTTGAGGGTTTTTGTCTTCTTGGGATTTTATGATTTGGGTTGATCGTCGTCGCATTGCTCAAGTGCAGTTACTGCTGTTGATCATCTATGTTTGTGTCTTGGAATAGAACAAATGTAGATTCTATTTGTATGTGTCTTGAATCTTTCTGACATGTTTGGTAAGATGAATTAGACAATCATAAGAAAGGCATCACACTACACTCAGTCACGTATGGTTCTGATACTAGCAAAGGTTAGAGGAAATTAAAAAGCTTAAATGATTATAGAACATTGTTAGATTCTTATAATTTTGAAGTCATCCAAGAATCATTCAAAAGGGGTAAATTCGATTTTCACTGTTACTTGGATGCTTTGTTTTCTTAAGAATTCCTATTGGGTATGGACTGGAGGCAATACATAACTTTAGAGATATGGGTTCTTTGATCATTTTGATGTTAAACAGTCATATGCAATTAATGGTAAGTTTGGTAGGGAGGATTGAAGAGTATCTGTTGTCCACGTGACGATGATTGCAAGCAAACAAACAATCCCATCTACTACTTCGTATTAAACACTTTCTATTTTTTATAGTAGAAAACTGTTAATGATTTCAATTTTCAATGGATTTATGAAAATCCATAATTACAGCACATGGGTGAGCTCTCTAATGTTTAAGAAAAAGTCCTAGGCATAGGAATCTATTGTGGAAAATAAAATCTAGAAACAAAAGTCGAAGGTGAATGGAGTAGGGAATGTGTGTTGGCAGCGGAGACTTAGGTGCTGCAGATCCTTCTAATCGAGCTATTACTTACAGATTCTTGGTCGAATCTTAATCCAAGGCTGATTTGATTTTAATGCTAATATCATTAAAACGTTTGAATAGATGCCTTTTACTCTGTATGCCAATAAAAATGCGTCGATTGCTTACCATGTTTTCACATCCACGGTTACCATGTTTTTATAATTAGTCTTATACATAGGAACCTCAAGATTGATATGCCTCTTTACCACCGTGACTTCTATTTCATGAAACTTTCTTACTCTAACAAGATATAGCAAGAACATCCAATTGCCTCATCTTTTTCGGTCGAGTTGCAGATGGAAAGTCAGGAGCAAATGGATGCTCATTGTTGCTGTCACTTCATTGGTTTGTGAATATGGGAATGGAGAAACAAGGCACAAGGAATGGAGGTTATGTTGCTGGCTTCTTCAGATGTTTGACTGGAATGCAAAATCTCGGAAGAAATTGTTCTCGACCAAGTCTGACTTACCAGGTATTCGAAAATGTCTGAAACTGGTGATATGTGGATTTCTGTAAATGATAATGTGATCTTGTTTCTTTTGAGGTTTCTCGACTTACATTTATATATTACGTGCTTTATTTTCTCTATTTTACACTTGATGGCTTAATAAAGATTGTTTCTTTCCCCTGCTTTATGAAAGTGCAATCCAAACAAAAAAAGATATGCGATGGAAATTTGCCAATGACTCAGCTTGATACGGTAATAAGTTTAGAGAATGGTATCAGTTCTTCACTGTTCGTCATTTTTCTATTAAATTGACTTTTTTCCCCCTTTTTTTGTCTTTAGTTGTACGATGATTTGATGGCAGCCAGGTCAAGTATTAAAGGAAGTAGTGATTATAGTTGTGCTTCATCCGTTGCAGATGAGGACTTATGTGGAACCAAGTCCCCAGGAGTTGTTGGAAGACTTATGGGATTGGATTCCTTGCCAAAATCCAATATCCTGGATTCATACTCGACGCCACTTTTTGATACTAGGTCTCCACCTGATGTGCATTGCCATCCCAAAAATTTGAAATGTTTTCAAGATTATGAAACCATGCACTCGAGCAGTTCGCACGAGTTTCCTGCTAGGAAAGTTTTGGAGCCTAAGTATCAGAAGCTGATAACTATGCCAATCGAAAAGTTTCAAACTGAAACTTTACCACCTAAATCAGCTAAATCGATTCCCGTTACTCACAACAAACTTTTACCTCCAATCAAAAGTGCTAATGTTATCCCACCTACGAATGCGGCTCACATAAAGGAAGCAGCTGCCAGAATCATTGAACCGGGATATCAGGCTACTGCAAAAGCAAAGAAAGTCCGGTCTTCCTCCATTCCCTTAAGAGTACAGGACTTGAAGGAGAAGGTGCAAGAACCTGGAAAACCATCAAAACGTTCTAAAGCTTCTGAGAAGCCTAGTGAATCTAGTGCTGTCTACCTTAAAGGACAACCTAGGACTAAAAGCTGGAGCGAATCGGTGGATTCAAAATCACTAAGGATCTTGACGGATTCAGAAGAATGTTATTCTGGTGTAAAAAGTACAGGGAAATCCATATCACTCGCATTACAGGCGAAGGCCAATGTTCAGAAACGTGCAGGCATAAAAGTAAGTGGCAGCAGAAATTTGATGGGCGAAAATGAGTATACTTCAGCCCCATTGTTCCAAAGTCAACCGAGTATGCAAAAGAGTATGCTTAAGAAACCATCTACACATGGTTCAAGAGTGTTCCGACAAAATAATCAGAAACAAAATTGTGTTGCTGAAAGAGGAAAATCGCCTCCAGTGAAGCCCTTTGCTTCCGACTCACAAGGTGGTGGGAAAGCGCTCAGTGGAGATTCTTCTTCTGCAAGAAAAAAGAACTTGAGTAAACTTCCCGAAACCTCTAAGGTTGGTTCCAGGAGGTCAAGTTTTGAGGGTAAAAATGATAGAAATGAGGTATCATATTCTAGTTCCGAAAAAATTTCCCGTAAGAAACGATCTACTGATGGGGATTACCAGTATGAGATAAATCAGGCTGCCCATAACAAAATGATCGATAGAAATAGGAAAATGATTCAATCCTGTTCTCTTGTGGACGGGCCAATTAGTTGTGATAAAGACAACAGAAGGAAGGGAACGGACGTTGTTTCTTTTACATTCACTGCTCCAATGACACAATCCATACCTGGCTCTGAAAGCTCGACAGAGGTTGGGGATAAATGTAAAAAGACACTGGTGAGCTCGGATGGTTTGAATGTTTCAAAGTTCTCTTTCCCAGGACATAATATTTTGCAAGGTGATGCATTAAGCACCCTTTTGGAGCGAAAGCTAAAAGAACTGACACGTGTTGTAGAGTTTCCCCTACATAGGAAAGAGATGGCAAGTAGTTCTTACTCGACACCCTCAACCATGTTACACGATGGCAAAACCAAAGATGGAATTCACAAATCTAATCTGGTTAGCCAATGTGACTCTAGCTTTTCAGCAGATCTTCGGGGATTCAAAACAAGAAATCAGCGTCGGGTATATGTTAAATGCTTATTGCTCTTCGTTTTCATTTTAATTTATTGAGAATTTCTGTTTAACTGAGTAATGATTTTCCAGACGTATTATCTAGGTATCTATTCCTTCTCCTACAAAATTTTCATTAAGGTTCAGCTGATCAACTTGAGTTCATGTTAGAAACAGGGAGTAAATGAAGAAACAGACCACCAAGGGAGAAGGGTTTCTGAAGCCAAAAATTTACTCGATCCTTGGCTTCCTAGTCCAGTTTCCGTCCTTGAGCTGTCTTCCTTCGCAGAAAGTTGCAGTTCTTTGGATACTGTCGATAGTAATAGTACAACAGGTATGAGAAGTGACCTCAATATTAATGTGGTCATGTATTGATCTTTTTTGGTTTTCGCAAGCTGATATGAATAGTGTTCGTAAATGGGAATGTACTAGGGCTATGAACTTATAATCTGACGATAAACTATATTTAAGACCGTAATTTGAACTAACTGTACATTTATTACCAATTCCAGGTAGCAGGCAGTGTTCATCAGTTCAAGCTCAAGAAGTGCTTGGTACTTATTCTTTGAAAAAATTCATTCCAAGTGAAGGAGATGCCGAGTTATCAGATTCAGCTTCTTCAATTTCCTTACCTGTGACTAATTGTGGAAAGTCAACAGAATGGGAACTAATATATGTGAAGGAGGTACTATGTAACATAGAGATGATGTTCAAGGATTATGCAATAGACCAGGCTCGCGAGATTATAAATCCGAATCTTTTTTATCAACTGGAAAGTCAGAAAGGAATGTTGAATGGTAATGATCTTGTGCCTAGAATAAGCCGAAGGCTACTTTTTGATTGTGTGAATGAATTCTTGGAGTCAAAATGCAGGGTATATGTTGGATGGGGAAGCAAAATATGGGAGAAGGGTGTTTCTGCAATTAGAGGAAAGGAGACGTTAGCTCAAGAAATGTATAGTGAGATTCTTGGTTGGAGTTCAATGAGAGATTATATGATTGATGAACTTGTAGATAAGGACATGAGTAGTCGCTATGGAAGATGGCTCGACTTTGAAATTGAAGCATTTGAACTCGGAATAGAGATTGAGGATCGGATTCTTAATTCTTTGTTAGATGAAGTAGTTGCTGATGTATTGATGCTCTAGCATGGCAAAATCCCTTCATAGTTTGGATCAATCTTCTTATATTTCTTAAATGTGTGCTTCAAATAAGTATCCAAATTCATTTATTTTATAAGCAGAGTAAATTGCAAGTAACAGACCAAATTTTCTAATAAATCTAAAGAGAAGATTTCTGTAATTTTCCTAAACATTAATTGAAAAAACGGGTCTCATTCTAGAAAATGTATTTCAGAAACCATCCCAAAAGTAATGATTAATTACAAAGAAGCCCCATACTTTGGCATTAGCTAAAATAGTCCCCAAAATATATAATTGTATGGAGATGACATAAAATACATAAGTTCTAACAAGGTTTCTCTCATGTACAAGCAGGCCTTCGAGGTGGCAGTTGTTGACGTGGTGTTCTCTGCAACAAATTTTAAAGAAAATCAAATTCATAATATTGAAATTTATCTATTTTTATAATTAGACTAGTGTTATAATGTTGACAATTGTATATTATTTTATACATAAGTAGTAGTAATAATAATTTAATTACCTCTAATTTTGGTCTCAATGTCTCTATAGCCACTATTAATTGTGGATCAACTCCTGCACCTTGCTGGCAATTTAAATCAAATGATTACAATAATAGTTTAGGAAAATACACAAAATTTTTTGAGAGGTCTGAATTATAGAACATAATTCCATTCAACATCATAAAATTCTCTCCTTCTTCTTTTTTTTTTTCCCTTTTTTTTTAATCTTTTCAAACCCTGATAATTGGATTTTTATTTATTTATTTATTTTAAAAACTGCTACGACGAATCACGCCCAATAATGAGAAAAGAAAGTTGAATATAACTATAAAACTAGTTAAAAGTTGAGGATGATGCGTGCAATTTAGAGCACATCTAGCAAAAAATTAATTTTCTATAAAGTAGAGGAGTGCACCGAACTTATTTGAGCTGGTAGTTTGTTGATTTTTGTCTACGTAATTTGTGTGTTTCTCAATTTATTGCAATTAAAATTCAAATTTTGATCTAAGTTAAGGTTAACGATTAATTTTAATTAAATATTTTATAAGTTCCACAATTTTTCAAAATATACCAAAAATCTTATTTTAATCCCCACCAAACAATCAGAGTATAATAAAGCTATCATTTTGCCGAAAATTGCTCTGTGTACAGAACAATTTCCTACAAATGTTTTACCGACCCCTAAAGGGGTCGGTCCCACATAAAAAAATAAAAATAAAAATACACCGTGACCCGCACATATGAAAGATCTGACAGGAGTCTGTAAAACGGACTCATGTAAGTGTAGCATTTCTCTATTTTGCCTACCCTTAGCTTTCTAATTGGTAGCTGTAGTTGAGAAATAATACCTTGAATAAAGCCCAATCCGCCGAGTCAAAAAAGGCACGCTCGTGATCCTGCGTCAGCATAAAAATTTTTAGCAAAAGACCAAGAGGGATAAAAAATAATAATAATAAATAAAATAATAATAATTATTAATTTTTAAACGTATTTAAATTGGACAATATTAAATAAAATGAAGAAAAGAAGATAAAAAAACGTATTATTCGAAAATTGTACTTGCCTTTGAGATCAAAGGTTTCTTCTTAGGCATGAGTCCTCCATACTTTTTCCCGATTGAGCTATCCTGCAATAGAAATTGAAGTAACGATTTGAGTAAAAGTGAATTTTTCTTTTACCTAAACGTGTTTTAAAAACTTGCTTTTTTAATTTTAAGTGCAAAATTTTCCTATTAAAAAATATCTACCTTAAACTTGCTTAAAAGTAAAGTTTTTAAGCTTGGCCCACGCACGTTTTTAATTAGGATTAACATATCAAATCAAAAATCAAGTTTCAAATTCCCTTCTTAATTGATTTAAATTTGAAAAGATAGACGTTTATGCCAAGAATATTCTAATATTAGAAGAAAATTCCTTATATGAAAAAGGAAGAAATTTATGCCAAAAATATTAACATTTTGCTGTTTATGGACCACATAGTCATTGTGTAGACCTCGTTGCACATGATGTGGCCCCAAAATATCAACATCACATTTATGCCACTATTTTCTTTTATTTTAGGACAATAAGAATATCTTCCTTATAAGAATCGGTAACGAAATAAATGCAAATAGATATTAAAAAATAAAAATAAAGATCCTCACGATATGTGTAGTAAGAAAATTCTATTCATCGCTAAATGAAACTTTTATAAAAATTAGTATATGACATCATAGATGTCTTAAAACGTGCTGAGTTTGTGAATGTCCATGCATGCACACGTGTAATACTTGTAATTTGTTTGAACCATCAATAGCTGCATGTATGTTTGTATGTTCATCCGAACTCGTAGTGTTGAGATCACATCATTTATTACCTTAGAAAATTGTCGAAGATCGTTTGGTTAAATGTAACTTTTCATTATCAAACTATGTTTTAATTGCTTTTATTTTTTATTTTATTCTTACTTACCCAAATAAAAAATAAATAAATAAAAATAAAAATTGTTCAGAGAGTATCTCTTGCCTTACTGTCTAAATATTATGTAAAATTCAGAAAACGGAATTTTGGAAGACTAAGGGGCAAAAACAAATCGTTTGAAGGAGTACCTCATGGTCTTTAGAGAAGACAAGAAGATTTTCTTCACTTGTATTGCAGTCAGCCATTTAAGCACCCTGTAATATTAGTCCCCATTGATATCACGCAAAATATTTGAGATAGATTCAATCGAAAAATTGTGTGTAAGTGTGTGTGTGTGTGTGTGTGTGTGAGAGTGTGTGTGTGTGTGTGTGTGTGTGAGAGTGAGAGAGAGAGAGAGAGAGAGAGAGAGAGTTACACTACCTTGAAGCAGAGAAAACTAAGCAAGCAAAAGAAAAAGGAAGAGATGGAAAGCAAAGGAGATGCTTGTGTGGGTATATATAGAGCCGGTTTGGTTTGAATTAAAATCTAATTTTAATTTTAAGTCAAAATTCTAACAATCAATATTAATCACATTTTTCATGGGTCCAACAACTTTTCATCCACACATTTCAAAAACTTCTATCACAATCTGCTAAAAAAAAATTTCATTTTAATTCCCACCAAACATCATTATAGATGTTTTATTGTCGGCACGTAACTTCTGAATATTAAAGGAACTTCGAGACTAATCTTATTGTTTAAGGGATTGAGATGGAGATAAGTTGGTCCATGGTGGGTGGGAGTGGGAAATTTTGTACACACTAGACGTAGGAGATTATTGGACTACAAGGTTGATTTTAGTGATTTTAGTTAAGGTTGTTAAAACATCGACATCAAATTGGACATAGACTTATCCTACATCGTACAATATTTCTTAATAGCTAGTTACAAAGCCTTCGAATATAATGCACGTGAACTGATAATTATATTATTCATATATTTTTAATCTTAGACAAGTTTAATTATTTCGATGGATGCACTTGGAAATATCTTTTTACGTTTTTTATTTTATTTTTTTGGCTTTGCTGAGATATTCTATTGACAATTATAGTATTTGAGGTTTGAAGAAAATTGAAGTAAAACTATTTTGAAATTGAAATGAATAATTTCCCATCAACATCTACTTAACGGCTATTTGTGTGTTTATCGTCATTTATTTCCCATTTTTATTCTTTAATTTGCTTAATTAATAGATTATAAGTCAATATCACAGTCTCCCAACGGCTAAGAAGCCTTTTATAATAATGGCAATCTTAATTTTCAAAGTGATAAAATTGAGACTTTGAATAGGCACTATATATCGACAATATTCATCATTAAATAAGGACTTCGAATTGACATTCACGGCAAAGAAGATACCCCCAAAAAAAAAATTTAAATAAATAAAAAATAGAGGGATATGAAAAATTATCATTTTCACTTTTTTCAAAATCTGTCTTCAAATAGTAAATATTTTCCATAAGAAGTTTTTCGTACATCTAGAACAACTCTAAAATGAATCCCAAATAGAGCTTCTTTTAAGATCTTTTAAGAAGGGAAAAAAATGGCAATAAAGTAGGATGCTAATTCGAGATATGAACTTTAAATTGACATTATCGACTTTACTTCTAATCTGAATCTCCGAAATTTAAGGTTTTCAACGGTAAAAGTCACCTGAGACTCAATCTTCTCCATGGTACTTTAAGGAGTAATATGTTCACAGTGTTTATATCATTTTTAGTAATACGTTGTGCTCCAACCACTATATTAGTTTTCTCAAATGCAATCAATTGTTTCTCTGGTACCTATTTTTAAGTTGATGCCAACGAGAAGATGTGGGTCCCCATCCATGTCTTAATGTATTCCACGTCAATGTGCATACTTAAGGAGATGGTGTCACAATTTGTGTGCAAAACCCTAATTGTATTGCTCGATAATATAGATTTTTTAAAAGAAATAATGTTAGTTGTTATCAATGATGATTATCATTAATACTCCGTTTGAGCCACATTAATAGAAGAATGAGAATGAAAAATATAGTTGTTACGAACCCCACACAAAACATAAATTTTAAAATATGATGATTTAATACGATGTAATTAGTCATATTTTTCATTTTAATGAGTAAATTCAGTAATAAAACTTGGACAAAATCCAAATGGAAATACAATTGGGCCCCAGTAAAATCTGTAAGTCCGGCCCAGAAAGCCTCTTCTTAGATCGGGCCTCATTCTCATGTTTGTCATTGGCACCTTGGCTACTTAATCTTGGGGATACCATCTAACATGTAGCTTTCCTCCTTTAAGGTAAATTTAAACATACACGTCATTTTAACCTACAATAATAAATTATGGGAAAATCCATTTTGTTGGAAGAAAATGTGCAGAAGCAGTGCCAAAAAGGTATGTGACGGGAGGCGATTGGATAGGAGAGATGCTCGTATTTTAAATTGTCCAATAATAAACTGTCAAGTGACATTATAGGGCCTGTTTGTGTTCTTTTAATTTCAAAAGTGTATTATGAAATGGTGATTGATGTTGAAATGTGTGTGGTTAAAAAAGAATGAATTTTTTTTTATGTGTAATATTATTTTAATAAAGAATGTGTAGTTGAAAATGAAAACTGTAGAAAAATTAGTAAGATAGAATGGTTGACAAATAAAGGCTATATGAAACTTTATGTCAAGTATGATGTACATATATTATGATTCATAAATTACACACACATATAACATTTAAATACATGGATTCATTGTTTCAAATAAAACATCGGCAACAATAGTTCCTCCGTCTTGGCTCGAATAGCCAGCCTTTAAAATGGCTCCAATCTTGGGATCATGATTGGGAAACAAAACATCAATTGGGCCTTTGGTAGCATTGGCAGATTCTTGACACAAGCTCTTGTGATTTCTTAAATTGATTGATCATGCTCCATGGCCAAGTTATAAACTTGTGAACTTCCAATGTGGTATTAACTTCCACAATTTACACTTGAAAGGGAATGGGACGGTCTTGCTTGGCACGAAGGCTGCTCGTTCGAGGTTAGAGTACGCTACAAAAAAAATAAAAATATAATAATAATAATAATAATAATAATAATAATAATAAACTTTTCATTGAAGACTTTTTCAATCTACTCAATTAGTGGTAATAACCAACTACATTAAATAAATCAATTTAATCCTTAGACCAATAAAATACCCAATTAATTCCAACAAAAATCTTAAAAGCTAAATCCCCAACTCCGAGACAGATTATTTTTATATTTATCATATCTTCTTATGAGTCTCTCCTCCACTCACAAGTTCACGCATTATATAAATATTTATATTTGGACTTGATGGATTATTATGCTACTAGTATCTTAGTAACAATTAGGGATGGTAAAAAAATCGTCAAACTTAATACTCGCGGGTTCCGCCTCGAACAGGTTGAGAATTACCCACTTAATCAAGTATCTGGGACGGGTTCGGGTGGGAATTTCATCCGAGGTGGGTACGGGTAACACTCGCCCCGCCTCATTAATTAATTATTATTATTTTATTTTATTTTTAAGAATTCAATACTTTAAATGGAAAATTTTACAAAATTTCATTAATTCTAATAAAAGATAGCAACTAAGATTATTTAAGGAATATGATTATGAAATAAAAATATTAATTTTACCAAATATATTCGACCAATTTAACTTTATTTAAGGAATATGATTATGAAATAAAAATATTAATTTACCAAATATATTCGACCAATTTAACTTTTAAAAATAAATAAATTAATTAAAAATTTTAAAAAATATATTATTGTCCCGCTTTAATGAATGAGAGTAATAAAATGAATTATAAAAAAACTTTTAAAAAATAAAATCGGGTAAAGGACCCGCACCGTCTTAAACAGGTAAAGGGGCAGGTACGGGACAGGAAAAATGCCCGACGGGCCCAAACTTGACCTATTGGCATCCCTCGTAACAATATATTCTTACGACTGACATATGCATCATATTATTGCTGTCAAATACGCAAGCCACATCATTACCAACATTTCACAACACTACTTTTACTACTGTCAGTACGTATCAACATGTCACTTGCTTCGCATTAGGAATTATGTTATAATGAGTTGTGCAAGTATATGATCTACTATGATTCATTATAGACCCTCTACACGTTGTATTTTGGAGAAAGTTAAGATATCATTATTTCTCTTTATGTCATTATTTGTATTTCAGTTGGTTTAGTCCATATTACAAAAGAGATGCTATTGAAAATTTCGATAAATCATAGTGTGATATTTTAGAGGCAATTTGTGAGTCCATGCTTATTCGGGTGTACACATATTTTTGAAGCAATTCATAAATTTTCATTTATTGGAACGATTTATATTCTCGAGGCAATTCGTAAATCCTCGTCTATTTGGGCTCTTGTTTGACAATCATTAATTGGGAAAAATAAAGTTTTGAACAGTACTTTTCAAGAGAATGTGTAGTTAAAAAGTAAGAAAATTTTTAAGTTCATGTAAAATATTTTATTGTTTAAATGTTTGGTTAAAAATGAGAACATAAGAAAAGTTTGAAAATAATGGTTGTTAAACATGGGCTGGGATCAATGCATATTTTTGAGGTATCTCATAAGCCCTCAATTATTGGAATTGCTTATATTTTTGAGACAATCTGTAAGATTTTACCTACTTGACAATTTATATTTCTAGTCCAATCTGCATGTAAATAAATGACTCAGACTTGGGGTGACAATGATAGCCTAAAAATAACTAACCAAAAGGGTGGATGAATTAGTTTTAAATTTTTTTTTTCAAAAAATTAATCTAAATTCAAGCAAGTAAAGACTTAATAGATTAATTCAAACAACAAGCACAAATATAAAAGTGACAAGTAAAACGGAAGTGAGGATGTAAATGATATAAAGCAATGGTTTACGTCTTCCGTAACCAAACTCTCTAACACGAGCAAAACTTTTTTACTATATTGATTGACTTACGGTGCAATCCAACACTTTACAATGTATTCGATGACCTACAGATAAGGAGCATCGATCCTTATACATTATTGTCAATTTCTCACCATGATCACTCCAAATTATAGTAATAATGTACCCTTCTCATTTTTGAACCTTTTTATTAGGTTTAAAAATAGGACTCAAGTGAATTTAGAAAATTCATCAACATGACAAGCATAATGTTTACCATTCAGGTTTGTGATTCTAGGTAATCCAAAAAGATTCATATAGAGAAGTTGGAAAGGTTTTATATTTGAAGAGTATAAGTTTGGAAGAACTCTTCACTTGTTTTTCAAATTAACATGCATAATAAATGTCGTCTCTCTCAAATTTCAAAAATGACATATTTCTAACAAAACAATTTTTGAAAATATTTGTAAGCACGTTCATGCAAAACATGTCTATGCCACAATTAAGTATCATTTTTTAAATTTGATAAAAAAAAAAAAATTCTTC